CCCTCCTCTCCCTGTGCCCATCCCCCACCCTCTTCTCCACACCTATCCTCCCTCTCCCCATGCCTCGCCCCCTCCCCACACCTACCTCCCCCCGCCCTCTCTCCACATACCTACCCCCCATGCCTACCCTCCTCTCCCCGTGCCCATCCCCCACCCTCTTCTCCACACCTATCCTCCCTCTCCCCATGCCTCGCCCCCTCCCCACACCTACCTCCCCCCGCCCTCTCTCCATGCCTATCCGCCCCCTACCCCAGTCCTGCCAGTTGTTGTTCTGGCCAGAAGTCTTGGGGTCACCCTGACCCTTGTTCTCTCTCCCCTCCCCTCCAGTCTATCAGCAGCCTGTCAGCCCCACCTAAACAGATCTAGATTTCGGGGACATCTTACTACCCTGACTCTGCCACCCTGACCCTGGGCACACCATCTTCCCCCCCCTGGACCTTGTGACAGGGTCCTGCTGGGTCCTCTGCCCCTAGCGGCCACTCACTGGGCCAATGAGAAGGAAAGGCAGATAGGGCCTCCCTGTCCCCAGGAGAGCACAGCCCATCCCCTCGGCCCTGCGTGACCTCGCCTGTGGCCTCTGGCGTCCTCCAGGCCTAAGCTCCCCCAGCCCCAGCTGTCTCCCTCCTGCTCCTCAAACCAACAGCCCCACCCAGGGCCTGTATGGTCCCCTCCCTCCCCTCAGCCAGCCTGGGCCTGCTCCCTCCCTCCATTCTCCTCCCTCCCCTCAGGCAGCCTGGACTCGCTCCCTCACTCTGTTCTCTCTCCCTGGGCCTGCTCCCTCCCTCTGTTCCCCTGCCTCCCCTCAGCCAGCCTGGGCCTGCTCCCTCACTCCGTTCCCTTCCCTCAGCCAGCCTGGGCCCCCTCCTTTGCTCCGTTCTACCCCCTCCCCTCAGCCAGCCTAGGCCTGCTCCCTCGCTCTGTTCTCCTCCCTCCCAGGGCCCCCTCCCTTGCTCCGTTCCCCTCCCTCCCCTCAGCCAGCCTCACTCTGTTCTCCTCCCTCCCTGGGCCCCCTCCCTTGCTCTGTTCTCCTCCCTCCCTGGGCCCCCTCCCTTGCTCTGTTCTCCTCCCTCCCTGGGCCCCCTCCCT